GGTGACAGGGTTTGTTTGTTTCAGTCTTTGTCTGTAAGCTGGATACAGGAACAAAGAAATGTGGTCTGAGTGTCCAAGGTGGGGGCGGGGTGCAGCCCTGTATGCACCACATATGTTACTGTAAACATGATCCAGAGTGTTCTTGCCCCGAGTGGGAATGTTCACATGTTGGTAATATTTGGGAAGTACAGTCTGTAAATTACACTGGTTAAAGTCTCCTGCAGCAATAAATACAGCATCGGAGTGCACCGTCTCTAGCGCGTTGATGACATCATAGAGTTTACTGAGAGCCGCAGAGGGATTAGCTCTTGGGCTAACATACACAACAGCCAGAAACACAGGACTATGCTCTCTTGCTAGATAGTAGGGCTGGCATTTCAGCAATAAAAACTCCACTTCTGGTGAACAGAAAACAATCAGTAGACTGATTGGTAATCACTACACCCGAGATGCAGCACTGTTCAGTAACAAGGGGATGGTGCAAAGTTTCTGAACTGTAAAACCAAAGCTCTGACGATGTTTTCAGGGATAGTCAGGATAGCTGCAGGTTTGCAACCTGAAATGCTGACACTAGGCTTGGGACTGATACCCAATCAATACATTTTCTGTTTTTCTTTTCACTGAACAACAGAGATGAAAGCTCAAACGCAGCTGAACAAAGAGTCTTAGCCTAATTCAGTATGAAACTGAATAAATGATCTAAATCATATTTCATCAATAAGTTAATCAAGCTGATTAGATCAATCAGAAGTCTGATAGAAACTCAAGATGTTTGTGGCAATGGTGAAAATGGACTTACCTGGCAACCACTCTGATTGGCTCTCTGTGGACAATGGTGATGTCGGGGTCAAAGGGTTGGGGGGGGTTGGTCTGGAACCTGGTGGGCAGGAAGAACGAAGTCTCGACATCTTTCTCAAAAGTGTTCCCATCCTCCATCATGTGAATGTTATTCACCACAGGCACCGTCATCCCCAGGTATCTGCCTATACACCAATACATTCTTATTACTTTATAATCAATACTGAGCATGTGATCCCAAAGAAGCAACACTGGGACCCAGGGGATCCAGGACCCACATTTATCCAGTGTCTCAGAGCAGGAAGTCCAAACATCTCAGGGGTGTTGTAAGAGTGTTTTATCAACACTCCTGACATAGGAACCCCTCCTGTCTGCACCACAAGCTTGGAGCCTCCAGAGGAGTCGCAACTGCGCTCACACACAGAGGTGTGCAGGTGCTGTGTGGGAGAGATGTTGCGGACAATGAGCTCACAAAAAGACACGGTATGAACACAAACTGAGTAGGTTTGTGACAGATCCTGTGCAGGATGCAGCTGCTCCATCAACAACACGTGCTGCCTCCCAGTGGTGGAAAGTACCGGATTACATTTACTCGCATTACTGTAATTGAGTAGTTTTTTTTGTGTACTTATACTTTAAGTAGTTTTTAAAATCTGTAATTTTACTTTTACTTAAGTATGTTTTGTTTGAAGTATTGTGCTTCGCTACATTTTAAATCATATTTGTTACTGAGTAAAAAATTAATTAATTCAAAAAATAAAAGTATTGCAACGGGGAAGGAAAAATAATCGCGTCCCAGAAGCACTGCACTGATTGATTGATGGGCAGGGAGAACAAGCGCGCTAAACTCACAAGAAGATGGAGATGGACGAAGGAGACGCCAATGATGGAGCCCCAGCTGAAAGCGAAATGCCATCATGTTCCTCATATAAAGCAAACCCCTGGCCATATTTAAGCGACCAGTTTCATTTTAAGCGCACGAAAGGCAGCGGCTTTATTATGCAGTGTAAGATGTGTTTGCCAAAGTCGACTGAACTGGCAGCTTATAAAAACTCGACATCAAACCTGCGCAAGCATGTTGAGGTAAGTTTAACTTACTAAGGTAATATTACTTGTATTTATAGTTTTCATAATTGTACTGTTGCGTTGCCTCAATGTGTGACACTGTCAATGTTGTTAATAATTAACAGGGACAACGCACAATTGAGCAGTGTCACGATTGTCATACGAAATGAATGAAACGTGCTACATGTTAGAGTAGATCTGCTGATGTTGCAAGTGGACGGTGGTCTGCAGTGAATACACTGGATAGGCATAAATACCTCTTACATGCTCACTTCAAAATTACTTAACTATCCCTTTTAATATGAATAAATATGACACTGAATTTAGTATAGATGTGTTGACATATCCACTATTTTTCATAGTCTTAGTTCATATCTTCTGGTCACATCTGGTTCAGTGAGCAAGAATTGTGCAGTATGAAATGCAATAGACAAACTGTGATGTGTGTAGAATCTCTTATCTATGACTGTAAACATTACAAATTCAGCATGTTTAATGAACATGACATTGATTTCAATGATGAAAATGTTTTGGTTATAGACAAAACATCCATCAAACCTGAAGGCTTTCAGTGACTTTGTGGCAACATGGAAGCGAACCCTGGAACCACCAGAAATCCAAATCAAGCAAGCAAAATAAGCGGCACAATTGCACTGGGTGCAAATAAACATGTGCCACAGGCAAAGGTCAACAAGCTCATTATTAACTTCATTTATGAGGGTCTTCATCCATTTTCTTTGGTTGAACAACCTGCTTTTAAAGAACTTTTACTTGCACTGAATCCTCAATGCAAGGTCATATCCAGACCCACTCTCCGGACCAGAATTGATGAAGCCGCCAATCAGATGAAGAAGAATTTGTTGTCACACCTCAGTAAAGTCAGCTATGTTGC